GCTTCTTGAATTCTTTGTAAGTTTTGGAGATCAGCCCTCTGTCAGGTGTGGGGTTAGTGAATATCTTTTCCCATTCTGTGGGGTGCCTTTTTGTCTTGTTGACTGTGTCCTTTGCCTTACAGAAGCTTCTGAGTTTCAGGAGGTTCTGTTTATTAATTGTCGATCTCAGTGTTTGTGCTACTGGTGTAATGTTCAGGAAACAGTCTCCTGTTCCAATTCGTTCAAGGGTGCCTCCCACTTTCTTTTCTAATAGGTTCAGTATGGCTGCATTTATGCTGAGGTTTTGATCCATTTGGACTTATGTTTTGTGCATGGCAATAGACATGGATCTATCTGCAGTCTTCTACATGCCAATATCCAGCCATGCCAGCATCATTTGTTGAAGATGCTTTCTTTTTTCCATTGTATATTTTTAGCTTCTTTGTCAAAGATCATATGTTCATATATGTGTGGGTGATATTAGGGTGTTCAATTCATTGCATTGATCTACCTGTCTCTTTTTATGCCAATACCAACTGTTTTCAGGACTTTAGCTGTATAATAGAACTTGAAATCAGGGATGGTGATGCTTCCTGACATTGCTTTTTTGAATAAGGTTGTTTTGGCTATCCTGGGTCTTTTTTTCCACATAAAGTTGATTATTGTTCTAAGGTTTGTGAAGAATTGTGCTCATATGTTAATGAAGATTGAATTGAATTTGTAGAATGCTTTTGACAAGATTGCCATTTTTACTATGTTGAACCTACCTATCCAAGAGCATGGGAGATCTTTCCATTTTCTGGTGTCTTCTTTATTTTTTTAAAGATTTATTTATTTATTATGTATACAGTGTTCTGTCTGCATGTCTGCCTGTAGGCCAGAAGAGGGCACCAGATCTCATTACAGATGGTTGTGAGCCACCATGTAGATGCTGGGAATTGAACTCAGGACCCCTGGAAGAACAGCCAGTGCTCTTAACCTCTGAGCCATCTCTCCAGCCCTCTGGTGTCTTCTTTAATTTCTTTACTTAAATACTCAAGTTCTTGCTGTACAGGTCTTTCACTTGTTTGGTTAGCATTATCCCCAGACATTTTATGTTGTTTGTGGCTATTGTAAAAGGTGATGTTTCTCTGATTTATTTTGTAGCCCCTTTATCATCTGTATATAATAGGGCTGCTGTTTTTTTTTTTGAGTTAATCTTGTATCCTGCCACATTACTGAAGGTGTTTATCAGCAGTAGGAGTTCCCGTTTAGAGTTTTTCAGGTCAGTTATGTAAGCTATGATATCACTTGCAAATAGTGAAAGTTTGACCTCTTCCTTTCCAATTTTCAACCTGTTGATTCCCCTTTGTTGTCTTATTGCTCTAGCTAGGACTTCAAGTACAATATTGCAGAGATGTGGAGAGCGTGGACAGTTTTGTCTTTTTCCAGATTGTAGAGGAATGACGTTGAGTTTCTTTCCATTTAGTTTGATGTTGGTTGTTGGTTTGCTGCATATAGCTTTTATGATGTTTAGGTATGTTCTTGTTATTTCTGATCTCTCCAAGACTTTTTATCATAAAGGGGTGTTTTGTTTTGTCAAAGGAGTTTTCAGTATCTGTAAAGGGAAGCCTTCCTGCCAGCCTGGTTCCAGAGCCGCATCAGTCCAAAATAAGCACCCAGGAGGCTATATTAATTATGAAGCTGTTGGCCTTGCTTGTTTCTTACTGGATAGCTCTGACTTAAGTATTTACCCCATAATTGTTAATATAAGTATTTCTCTTACTGGAGAAATTTCTGGGCTTTCTACCCCATGGCAGTTACATCTTGACTCTCTGTGTTTCTCCTTTCCAGAGTCCTTCTGGACTCCTAGTCCCACCTATCTTGGTTCCCTATTGGCCAACAGTGCTTTATTGACATATACACAGGACTTCTCCCATCAAGCATCTAGTGAGATGATCATGTAGTTTTTCCTTTTTCAGTTTGTTTACATGGTGGATTACATTAATGGATTTTCATATGTTGAACCATCCCTGCATCCCTTAGATGAAGCCTATGTGATCATAGTGGATGATTTTTCTGACATGTTCCTGGAGTCGGTTTGCCAGTATTTTTTTTTTTGGTTTTTCGAGACAGGGTTTCTCTGTGGCTTTGGAGGCTGTCCTGGAACTCGCTCTGTAGACCAGGCTGGCCTCGAACTCACAGAGATCCGCCTGCCTCTGCCTCCCGAGTGCTGGGATTAAAGGCGTGCGCCACCAACGCCCGGCTTGGTTTGCCAGTATTTTATTGAGTATTTTTGCATCAATGTTCATGAGGGATATTGGTCTGTAGTTCTCTTTCTTAGCTGTGTCTTTGTGTGGCTTAGGCACCAAGGCTAACTGTAGCCTTTCAAAAAGAGTTTGGCAATGCCCCTTCTCCTTCTATTTTGTGGAACAGCTTGAGGAGTAATGTATTAGCTCTTCCTTGAATTTCTGTTAGAATTCTGCACTGAAACCATCTGGCCCTGGGTCTTTTATGGTTGGGAGATTTGATGACTACATCTATTTAATTAGGTGTTATAGGTCGGTTTTAATTACTTCTCTGTCCTTGATTTAATTTTGGTAAGTGTTGTCTATAAAAAAAACTGTCCATTTCCTTTAGATTTTCAAATTGTGTGGAGTACAGGTTTTCAAAGTATGACCTGATGATTCTCTGGTTCCTTCAGTGTCTGTTCCCTTTTAATTTCTGATTTTGTTAATTTGTATTTTCTCCCTCTGCCTTTTGGTTGTTTTGGATAAAGTTTTGTCTATCTTGTTGATTTTCTCAAACAACCAACTCTTTGTTTCATTGATTCTTTATAATGTTTTCTTTGTTTCTACTTTATTGCTTTTAGCCCTCAATGTGATTATTTCCTGGCTTCTACTCCTGTGTTAGTTTGCACCTGCAGCACCTGCAGCAAGGAGCCCACCATTAGCTGAGACAACTTTCTCCAAATATTTCAACAACATTTCTCTTAATGTTTCCTCTTCCTCATTTTTCAACAAAGAGTGGGATTTAAGATTTTCTTTCAGTTGTTCAACAGGCACTTGGCAGTCCTTAGCAATGAAATACTTCATGAAGTTAAAATGCCTGCAAACTGTCAAAGAAACTGTCATTCTAGTGTAGCAGCCTTCAGGAATAATTCCTATTTTGTGGGTTAAAATTGGCATCTTTGATTAACTACCTCTACATGGTTCTCAGCCTCAAAACTGGGATTCAGCTGTTGATACCATTTCAATGTAAGCTGTCTTAATATAGTATTATATATTAAGTACATATATTACATTTACTCCACTGAATCCCATCCTTCAGATAGCCCTGGCTAATACCAAGTGAGTTGGTAGAACAGAAGTGGTAGGAAGAGGGGGAGGTGAGTAATGGAGATGAGTTTAAGTGGGGACATGAGTGGGAGGGTAGGGCAGAGGAAGAAGGAGTGAGGGAAGGAATCACTCATTAAGATGTCTGAAAACACTATCCTGAAAACAGCTACTTAATCTGTATCTCAGGGTTCATCTAGAGTTACTGCTGTATGTAAGAGTGAGGCTGAAATTCTCATTAAAGAAGATACAGCTTGTCCAATAAAAGTTAAGGGCAAGATGTGCAGTACCTACCACTGAGTTGTTGTTCCAGAGATCCCTAAACAATACAGGCTATCACTATTATTCTTGATTCAGCAGGATATGAGGGTAAGACCCCATTGCTGAAGACACCACACTTTTTGTTGATAGAACATAAAGAACTGTTGGTACTGACCAGAAAGTTTCCTGTTTTCTGGATAGTACTCACAGTATTGGAGGGTGCTATTCAGGCTGATGAGGGAGAAAATTCATCAGCATTTGTCGCACCTGTTGTGTGGCCTGCATCGGAGAATGTAGCAAGGTGGTCGGGATAGATGACACAGAGACCGGTCGGTTGCTTTAAGAAAACTTTATGCTTCCCCAGTCAGCTTAGGAGGAGAACTCAAGTCTGCTTAGGAGAGAGAGCTCCCCAAGAAAAAAGAGCTTCCCTTTTTAAGGACTTCTGCCATCCATCTACATACAATTCTTTCCAGACTTCTCACCCTCCTGGCTGGTGGTTTAATCTCCGGCCCCAGAATCGGGGAGACACCGCAGGGGGGACAGGAAGAAGCATCTAGCCGTGGGGGTGTCAAAGTCATGGTGTTTCAGTGAGCAAGCCCTTATCTGAGCCCTATCAAGAGCTTTATAGCACTGAATTGTTTTCAGTAAACATTATCTCACAGCTGCCTGCTCCCAGGCCAAAGGGGAAGTGGGTTTCTGCTCAAGGTTTGGTGTCCCCACAAGCATTCTTACCACAGTGACCTCTGGCTTCTTTCAAAACCAGTCCCCATGGGAAGAACACTTACCTTCTTATTCTGCAGAAATTTTGGCATCTAAATCTTGACCACTAACCCATGACCTCAAGACCCAAGGCCCAACTGTGCCATTGCCAGCTTATTTTCTTCTACCTTATACTTGGATATGCAGAGATGAAAGAGTGCCAAGTCTCTTTATTCCAGTGTCCAGGGTCACTAATGCTGCATGCCTCATTAATGTGGGTCTGAAATGCTACCTTGTTTCCAACTATGACCCAGATTGTGATAGTGTCCTGTTCCACCAAGTGTGAACCTGGAGCATCCCATTTCTGTTAGAACCACACCAGTGCTGTGCTCTGTTCCCAGGGACAAAGATACAATAACATCTCTTCTCCTGGAACTGAGCTTTTGAAATATTTCTTATAGTCCCAGATGCTTTTTCTTTTGTGTATTATCAGTACTTTCCTGAGCTTCAAGAATAAATATGAACCTCAAGTCTTATGTGCCACAGACCCTGAGATCAGGACCTTCACTTTACTACAGTTCTGAATATATCTGCCCTAGCTTGAGTGATGCTATAATTTCCTGTGGCCTACACAGTTTGACACTTTCCAAACAGCCCTGACTTGCACTGAGTCTTCAAAAGCTCAATTACATTGCACATAATGTCCATAATCAGCACACTCAAAAATTTTTAAAAGAATCTGTTTTCTTTTTATCTGAAACGTGTTATCCATATTCTTTATTACAAGAAAAATGAAGCAAACCAAACAACCAACTAGCCAACAATCCCAAATGAAGAGCAAACCCTACCTAGATACAGTTTCCTTCCTAGGTGTACTACAACATTCATTATTATAAGAATTACTGAAATTGGGAAGAACAGAATGTAGCAAATATGTGGGTAACTGGAATAACCTAGGAAATATGATGGTGGCTTTGTTCAGGGAGGCTTTGACATGACTGTAATTGTACCTGGGCCTAAGAAATCACCAGAGTGCTGTGAAAACAAGCATGAAGTACATTGCCTCATTTGGAAGAGAAACTCTAAATTTGGAACTGCCTCCATCAGATCTGATTTTTTATATGTCTGTGGGGCATTTTCATGATGAATTAATTGATGTAGGAGGACACAACTCTCTGTGGTGAGTGAAAGCCCTAGGAATGTAGTCCTGGGTAAGAAATCAGGAAGAGATACAGCTGTAGAGAACAAGTCAGTATGCAGTGTTCCTTCCCAATTTCTACTTCAGTTCCTGCACTTGCTTCCCTTGATGATGGACTGTAATCTGCCAGTCAATTACATCCTTTCCGTTCGCAAGTTGCATTCGGTCAGTTTTAATCCTGTCAACAGAGAAACAAGCTAAAACAATACATAAATTACTTCTTAGGTCCCGTGATTCCAGATACTGATCAAGGCTACTTACACTAAAACTTCTCATTTATTGTATGACTTTTCCAAGGAAGAGATGAAGAAATGTCTATTTCTCCCAGAGAGGGCACCAATGATTGTACCCATGTTTTTTTTAAAGACTCAGTGATTTTATTATGACTTTATAGGAACATTTTATTGCCCTTTATTGTCCCCTTCAGGAAGGCAAATACATGAGGATAGTTTAGCAACCTGAGGCTCCACTTGATTTAGTTTTTACATACACTCCACGTCTGACAATGCACTGGGCAAACTAGGATCTTCTCCTGAATGTATTAGGCACAGAAATTACTGTCTTAGCACTGCACCTACCATCCAGGCACACTTCCCTCGCTGAGGTGCATGTGTACCCACTATGGACAATGGATAGCACTCCTTGTCTCCAGTACTTACCCTCTCATGTCTAGCTTCTATTCAGTTAGAACTGGGTATGCGATCGAGGGGACTGATCACATTGGCAGTCCCACTTCCATAATCAGCACCCAGTGTAAGGACAAAACAACCAGTCCCTCTCAAGTCGTCTTTGGCTCTTCTGGTTCCTGTTCTAGGCAGAAATTGTGTTGTACAATTTTTCCTGAGAAGACCACAAATGTCTTTTTACTTCATCTAGGCATCTGTAACTGACCAAAGAAACAGTGTCATCCTAGTCTAGCTTTGTGAATAAGTGAGTTTATTAGGGTGAGGGGGTACTTATAGGATCACCAACCACTCATAGGCAGCTACATTACTGAAAAGTCCACCCCTGCAATGCGATGATTCACTACAAGCTCAGCCATGGAATCCCCTGCATGATTAGCAGGAACTTCAGCTTCTCTGAACCACCTTACAACCAGACTTCTTATGGCTTATTAACTTTGAGAAGAACATCATGATTCTTTGAAGTTTCTATATTTTCCCAGGCTTTTGGTGAGTCTTACTTTATATTTAAAATGTATCTCTCTGTATGGTGAGCATCGGCTCATGGCTGTGGTCTGTCAGGCTTATGTTAGACTTCCTACTGAATTGCTTTCTATTTTTTTCATCAAGTTAGACTCTCTCAGGTGAACCTAGATCTCCCAGATCTCTGCAGTCTAGCTAGCTAGCTTACTTCATGTTTCCCCTCCCTTTGCCTTCTGAGTGTGGAAATACAAGGTGGCTTCTACACCCACTCAACATTTATATGGGTTCTAGTAATAGAGCTCTGCTCCTCTATCTGCATGGCATGACAAGTGTTTTATGCATTCTCTCTCTCTCTCTCTCTCTCTCTCTCTCTCTGTCTCTCTCTCTCTCTCTCTGTGTGTGAGTGTGTGTGTGTATGTGTGTGTGTGTGTATGTGTGTGTGTGTGTGTGTGTGTGTATTTGTACATGTGGCTCCCTATGTTGAGTCTACTGGTCTAAGTTGTCTTCCTTGATCAAATACTCCTCCATCACTTTAGAGACAGTTTCTCAGTAAACCCTGAGTGTGCCAATTTCCTAAATGATCGTGCCAGTCAAACATAGATTTAGATCTCCACTGAACAGAGTATAACATACCTAGTTTTTCTAGTGCTTATCTGTGAGCACAATGACCTCATTCTCTTGGCAATAACTGTTGGAATTTGTGCATGTTTTAAATGCTCTTAACTTTCTGCCTCATTTAAAAGATATCTTAATTGATTTAGCAATATTAACTGGCAATTATTTACATTTAGGATTTGAAATACACGATTCCACATTTTCTGTCATTTATGGTTGCTAATGAGAGATTTGATGTAAGTTTGCTATGCTTGCCTTCTTGAATTGGGGCTTTTCTTTACAGCTTTTAATATGTTTTTATGTATTCATTTGTACCTTTTTGTGTATGACATTGTTACAGTTTTCTCTTTTTGGGAGGATCAAGAAATATCTACTCTCTGCTCATAAGGTCCCATAAAAAACTGAAGTTTGATTCCACCAAAGTTAACCCTGAGAGAAAGTTTCAGCAAAGTGGCAAGATACAAGGGTCTCTCTCTCTCTCTCTCTCTCTCTCTCTCTCTCTCTCTCTCTCTCTCTCTCTCTCTCTCTCTCTCTCTCTCTCTCTCACACACACACACACACAAAACCCAGTAGCCTTTGTCTATATCAACTGCAAAAAAAAAATAGAAAACTAAACTGGGGGAAACAACGCCATCATAATAACTTTACGGAAAGAAATGAAGAAATTCAATGAAATAAATCTAACCAAGCACATGAAAGACCTTACAATGAAACTAAATTATCTGAGAAAGACATTGAAGAAGCCACTGAGAGATGGAATGATTTTTCCATGCTCATGTATTAGAAGAAGCAATATTGTCAAAATGGCTATCTTATTGGAAGCAATCTACAGAGTCAATGCAATCCCAATGGCAATCCTAATGCGTTTCTTCACAGAGATAGAAAAATATCTTAAAATTCATATGGAAGTACAGGAGAAACTCTGACAGCCAAAGCAATCCAGAGTAAAAAGCACATTGTTGGAGCTATTGCCAAGCCTGACATCAAGTTACACTACAGGGTTGTAGTAATAAAAACAGTATGACACTGGCATAGAAGCTAACTCACAGATCTATGTAATAGAACAGAGGACCACCAACTAGTACATACAACTACTACCATTTGATTTTCCACAAAGAAAAGCCAAATGGAGAAAAGAGCATCTTCAACACAGAGTGCTGGGAAACTGGGCAGCTACATGTAGAAGAACAAAATTAGCTTCCTATCTCTCACTGTGCACAAAACTCTACTCCAAGTAGACCATGGACCTCAACATAAGTCTGGACAGCCCAAATTTATAAGGTAAAGCAGGGAGTCCACTTAAGACAGGGGAAGAAGCAAGTACTTTCTGGATCAGATTTTGATTCTCAGAAAATAAGGGCAATAATAAAAAAATGGGAGCTCATGAAATAGAAACATTTTGTTTAAAAAGAAATTTGTCAGGCAAAGAAGAAACACCCCACAGAATGGGAGAAAACCTTTACCAGCTACAAATATGACAGAGGATTAGCTAGAATGTATAAGGTATTTAAAAAAGTAAATACTAGGAAAACAAACAACCCAATAAAAATGGACCTTGGAATTGAATGGAGAAGTCTGATATTAAAAAAAATTTTAAATGTCAAATTAGCATTTGAAAAAGTGTGCAACACCATTGGCCACCAGTGATATGCAAATTGAAACTCCTAAGGGACTGCCGACATAATGCCTGCCTCCCCATGTGGAGCTGCTTTCTATCCCTCCTTCCTTTTATGCATTTGAGAGGTAAGTCTACCTAGTCCAGCTGGTCCTGTGCAGCCCACAGTCAGGTCAGCATCCTCTGGGCAGCCAGAGCATCTCCACTGTGCTAACTGCCTTGTCCAGGCTCACCCTGGCTGGAATGTGAGATGCCTCAGCAGGTCCCAGACACAAGCCTGAGTTGTTGAGTCAGATGCCCTGAACCTCATGGTGGAAGGATAACAGCAACTACACAAGTTGTCCTCTGGCCTCCACATTCTCCTGTAGTTAAATAAGAAATTTGCTTCAAAAGAAAGAATTGCAAATGTCCTCAAGGTATTCACATTAATTCTGATTACTATTAACGATTTAAAAAATATGTGACTATTGGTTCAATTATATTGAACAGTGAAGAACATATTTCATTTACATTATCTGTGACAATTATGACACTATGTAATCCACATTTTATCATTTTTTGTTGGAAAGACAGATATGACAATTAGATAATATGAATTGATAATTCTATATTAGTCAAATTATTGGTTTATTGAAATCTAAAATCTAACACAAGGTGAGATGTGTACTTTTGGGATAAAATGCTTGCCTAGCACATACAAAGCCTGGATTGAAGGCTTAGCCTCACAAATAATTGAATAAAAAGGCTGTTGTAGAATTAACTATTTGTTTAAAAATTTACACATTTGTTTTCTTTATAGTAAAATTAAAATAATCTGAATATTAAAGCTTATTTGAAGATTACATATTATTCCATTCCCAAAGGTCAAGATAAAACAAAACAAAACAAATGACAACAAATCCTGTCAGGGATATGAGGAAAGAGTAGCACTTATTCATGGTCAGTAGCTGTGGGTCAGGTGAGTTTGAACTACTTTTTGAGTATGTCTCTCTGAGGAGAGCTTTGGCATCTTCAGTCACAGCGTCAAGGAAGATGTGATGCAAGTAAAAGGTTTTCCCGAAGTAAAGACCTGCAGCAAGGAGCCCACCATTAGCTGAGGCAAATATCTCCAAATATTTCAAAAATATTTCTCCTAATGTCTTTTCTTTCTTAGTTTCCAGCAAATAAGGAGATTTAATGATTTCTTTCAGTTGTTCAACAGGCACTTCGGAATTCTTAGCCATGTCTTCCAGGGATTCATCATCCACTCCAAAGAGAACTCGATAGTGGTTTAACTTTACCTTCAGCCTCTCCGCATCATCCCTGAGGATGCCCACTGCAGGGACAGTTGCCAGCAGTCCAGCCTTGAAGGCTTCCAGCCAGATAGTCTGCTGCATAGACTCGCGCTTTCTGTCTATGGCTGCATCTGTAATATTAGTCATGGAAAGAGTAAAATTGTGACGCTTCTGAGCAGGAAGATCCTTTATCAGGGTGTCCATCAGGATTTGGAAACCATAGTCAGATAAAACACTGCTTGAAATCAAGAAGATCTGTGGTGCATCCATGTTATTCTGAATAAACGTGTTCTCACAGTAGCTTCGGATCTTCGCCATGGTATTTTCTTTGTCAAATGTGCGTGGCTTGGATTTCTTTTCATTGTGTAAATCAATGTCTACCTTGGTTCTCACAAAGTAGTAATTCTTTTTCATGAATCTGATTGCTTTGGCAAGTTCTAATTCGAGCTTTGTAAAACGTGTGGCAGAAACAATAACGAAGAAGTCATACTCTTGGAATTGCACTTCCTCCAGATAATCCTTTGGCGGAAAATTGATAGTTCCAATGCCAGGCAGGTCCCATAGAGTCAAAGTTTTAATTCTGGGGTGCTTGTATGGAGTTCTCTCCATAGTTGTCTCTACTACTCCAACTTTTGCTGCACCTTGGTCTTCAGCCCCAACTCCCCTCAGGGCATTAATGAAGCTGGACTTCCCTGCCCCAGATTCTCCTGTCAGAGCAATGCTTATTGGGGCCTCATCAATATTTTTTAATGCCTTACTGATTACAGAGTTTGCCCCCTTAATGTTTCCTTTTTTCAGATGCAATTGTATTAAACGGATGTTTTCCTCAGAAATGATTTCCTTTTCTCTCTTCATCGTCTTTAAATATACAGTGAAGCTGGACACTAAATCTTCATGACCTCCATCCTTAGCTGTATCAGAGGACGACTGACCCATGATTGTGATTTTTAAAAAGTCACTGAAAGAAGGAAGGGAGAGTAGGTTGCCAGAGATCAAAGATGCATTTATGCTTAGCACTGTGTTCCTTCACTATGCTGCAGCCTTAGTTACATTTTGATATTCACTAGTTCCCGTTTATTTTGTGCTGTTTTTTCCAACCAGATACAAACTATAGTCATTTTGAAGGAGAACGTCTCATTTGAGGAGTTGCTCCCATCTCATTGGACTTGGGGCATTTCAGTGGAACATTTTGCTGATTGAAGATTGATGTGGGAGGTCCCAGCTCACTGTGGGTGGCACTATTCTTGGTCTGGTGGTCTTGGGTAATTTAAGAAGGCATTATCGAATTATGAGCAGCAAGGCAGTAAACAGCATTCTCCCATTTTCCCTTCCTCTGCTCCTGCTCTGACTTCACTCAGAGATGTATTGTGATCAGAATGTGTAAGCCCACAAAATCATTTTCTATTCAAAATATTTTTTGGTCATGGTGTTTATAAAAGCAATAGAAAGGAAACTCAATATAAAGGAAACTAGAGCACATTTCTACTAGCTCTCAATTAAACCCTTCATTAGGGAGAATGAAAACTCAATATAAATAAGAGAAAATAATATAAAATTGTGCATGACTACTTAGCCAGCATTAACAACTACAAAAACATGAAAAACTGTTTTGCCTTCACCCTGACTGCAATATTGTATATAAAATCCAAGATATCATCTCAATCTGTGCATGTTTCCTTCAGTAGGTGCCTTAAAATGAATGAAACTTAACACAGTTTAGCTTTGTACATTGAGAAATCAAATCAATGAATATTAACTGACATTAACATTTAATTGACGCCAAATTTCTCTAAATACTACTTAAATATATTTTGTCTGTTTTATTTATGTTTTCAAATATTTCAAAAGTTCAGCTGTTGTGTTTTGTTGAAATAATTCTGAGTTGCTTAGATTTACTTTCCTTATGTCCTTTGCATGAATTCATGATCTCATCTCCATGAAGAATATAAACTTGCAGTAATATGAAAGTTCTTTGCCTTTAAAGTCCATGTTAAATTCTATTTCTTCAGTGCAATATTTCAGTGTTCTCAACTACTCATTTAGATTCACTATTTTCTTTTAAACATTATATTTTATGAAAGCAATCTAACTGTGCACTGGAGATATTGTTCAATTGGTAGATAGCTTTCTCACCATGAATAAGACCCTGGCTTCAATTCTAACAATTTATCAAATGCATGTGTTTGCAGATCCCTGTTATTCTGGTACTCAGGAAGTAGAGCTAAGAGGGTCATTACGTCCAGATGATTAATACACAGGAATTAGAGGCTTTCCTGTGCTACTTGAGACCCTGTATCAAAAAAATGAATATCAAGTCCAGGAAGATGGCTCAGCAGGTATATGCTACCATGCCTCAGGCCCTGAGTTTGATTGTTGAGTATTTAAATAATTAATATCTCATATTTCTAACTTTATGTGGCAGTGAAATGGACCGCAACATTATTTAAGGAAACAAGAAAATCCCATTGTCACCCTGGAGTCTCCTCTGTCTGTCTCGCCCATACCAAATCTGCTCACAGACTTAAGTTCGATTACCAAATCCAATCACAACTGATAATTCCATCTACACTATCTTCTTGAAGATCTCCTCCATCCCACCTTTGGTGTCGTTGACATTACTATACTTCCTGTGACAGTTTTTACAATAACATGGATGATTAAATTGCCAGAGTATCCTATTTTCACTGAAATCATATGATGCCAAGTCAATCATGAGAGGCACCATAAGGATTCCCATTTCAGTCAGGGAACATTCATCAGGTATTCAGTGCACACACCACATACAACAAACCTTTGAACTTTCTAATTGAATGTATGATGCAGATGGTGTCTGAATTCTCACTTCCCTGTTATCTCAGGCTGTCTTCTCATCTCAGGACTTTGTACTTAGTGACTGCTTCCATTCTTTGTGCTCTCCCCCAGAGCCACGCTGGCTATTAACACCTTTCTCTAGGTTCTACTTTAGGATTTATATTCATCTTGGGATATAAATATATGAACCTGCATTTATCATTCACCATCTTTTCATTATGTTTCAGGTACAACAACCCCATACACACTGCAGATATATCCCCTTTCCTGAATCATCTCTTTATAGCCATTTTAGGGAGAGGCATAAGAGACAAGCAAAAACAACTGGATTTTTTCCAAAACCAATATCAAGATCATTGGCTTTAGGCTTATCTCAACTTGGGTAATTGCCTAAGACCATACACCAGGCTGTCCTGCCTGCCTCCCACCAAAGCTCCTAACCTTCCAAACTGAGGATCTCCACTATCAAGCATGTTCCTAAATGACATGTCACCTCTAAGCTCTTAAGAGAAAAGAGATGTAGAGGGTTTGAAGTTAGATCTGACTACTCCTGCCCACTTACCAGATTATCCTGGGTCTGGGGTCTGCGTTCACTGTGGTTCAGCTGCAGGAACCACGCTCCTGTGTGCTTGAGTCTCTTCCCTTGCAACCCATCCCTGCTTCTTCATGGAAAAGCAGCACGTTCAAGGTAGTTCTGCAGAGTTTATACACTCTCTGACTTCTGCCCCTTCCTTCTAAAAGTGTGTTGGCCAATCATTAAAGTTCACTGATCTCATTGTTTTTGAGAATTTCTTGCATTTCCAAGAAGAAGAAAGGGAAAAATAACTATCAGCTATTTCTCATTCTAGTATTTCTTCATTTCTTGGCAGTGAATTCTGGACAGTCCTAAAATCAACAAGAATGTGGAATGTGGAGTTTGGAAACTGAGTGGGGACATAGAGGAGAAGCTTGCAAGACAGGCAGGAACACATTTCAAAAATTGTTTCTCCTAATGTCTCTTCTTTCATAATTTCCAACAAATAAGGAGACTTAATGACTTTTTCAGTTGTTCAACAGGCACTTGGGAATCCTTGGCCATGACTTCTAGGGATTCATCATCCACTCCAAAGAGAACTCGATAGTGGTTTAACTTCACCTTCAGCCTCTACACATCATTCCTGAGGATGTCCACTGCAGGAATAGTAGCCAGAATTCCAGCCTTGAAAGCTTCCAGTCAGATAGTCTGCTGCACAGACTCGCACTTTCTGTCAATGGCTGCCTCTGTAATATTAGTCATGGAGAGTGTAAAATTGTGGCGCTTATAAGCAGGAAGACATTACCAGGGTGTCCATCAGGTGTGGGGAATTGTAGACAGATGAATGTTAGAAATGAAGAAAATCTGTGGTGCATCACTGCCATTTGCCATTAAGGTATTTATGTAGGAGTTTTCAGTCTTCTCCAGGATCTTATTTCTGTCAAATATATGTGGCTTGGATTTTTTTCTAAATCAATATCTATCTTGGTTCTCACCAAGCCGCAATTCTTTTTCATAAATCTGATTGCTTTGGCAAGGTCAAGTTCAAGTTTTGTAAAACATGTGGCAGAAACAATAATGAAGAAGTCATACTCTTGGAATTTCACTTTCTCCAGATAATCTTTAGGTGGAAAGTTCATAGTTCCAATGCCAGGCAGGTCCCACAAAGTCAAAGTTTTAATTTTGGGGTGTTTGTATCGAGTTCTCTTCATAGTTGTCTCTACTACTCCAACTTCAGCTGCACCTTTGTCTTCAGACCCAACTCCCCTCAGGGCATTGATGAAGTTGGACTTCCCTGCCCCAGGCTCTCCTGTCACAGCAATGCTTATTGGGATGTTGCCAATGTTCTTTGATGCATCAGTGATTGCAGTTTGCCCCTTGAATGTCTCCTTTTGTCACATGTAATTCAATTGAATGGATGGTTTCCTGAGGAATGATTGTGTTTTCTGTCTTAGTCTTCTTAAAATAAGCAGGGAAGCTGAACTCCAAACCTCCATTGTCTTTTATAGCTGTATCAGAGAAGGCCTGACCCATGGCTGTGTTGGAAGAGTGCCCTGAAAGAAGGAAGAGAGAGTGAGTTGCAAGAAGCTGAAGATGCCTTTGTGCTTAGCACTGTGTTCCCTATGCTAAAGCCTCAGTTATGTTCTGATGTTGACTAGTTACCATGTATGGTTTTTTTGTCAACAAGATACAAGCTATTGTCCTTCTGGAGGAGAAATCCTCATCTGAGAAATGCCTTCCTCAGATTGTACTGGGGGAATGACTATGGGGCACTTTCTATATTGATAATTGATGTGGGAGATCCCAGGCCACTATGGGTGGCACACCCCTGCGCAGATGGGCCTTGGTAATTGAAGAAAGTATTGTTGAACTTAAGTCAGACTTTTTTGTTGGGACTGTCCACTCTACTATTATGACATGAAGACTTTTTATTAATTATAAAAGCTCCATGCATAGCTTAGGCTTGTTTCTAACTAACCCTTCTAATGTAAATTAACCCAGATTTTCATCTACACCCTTTTACATGGCTCAGTTACCTTTACTCTGTACTGAAATACTGTTTCCTGTCTGACTGCTGGTGACTCTGCTTTTCTTCTTCCCAGAGTTCCTTGTCTATTGTCCGGGCTATCTCTCCTGCATGCATAGTAGCCATTTAGTTTTTTCTATCCCATCAGAAGGTGCCTTATAATGACTCATCATCATATTTTTCAACATTATTCCACAACATTGAATTATGGGGAGCAAGCCAGTAAACAGTATTCTCCCATTGTTCCTGCCTCTATTCCTGAAGAGTTTCTGCCATGATTCCCCCAGTGATGGTCTTTGATCAGCATATGTAAGCCCACAAAACTGTTTTCTTTTCAAAATGCTTTTGGTCATGGTGTTTATAAAAGCAATAGAAAGCAAACTAGAGCAAATTTCTACTGGCTCTCAATTTAACCCTTCATTATGGAAAATGAAAACTTAAGTAAAGCAGGGGAAAATAATATAAAAACCTGCATGAGTCCTTTAGCCATCATCAGCAACTGTAAAAACATGAGCAACTGTGTTGCATCTAACGTGCCTAGAGTATTATACATGACATCAAATGTCTTCTCCGTCTGTGCACACTTCCTTAAGTGTCTGCCTTCAAATGGATAGAAACTTAGTCAATACATGCCTAGTTTTATATAAATCTAATTTGTTTTATTTTTGTTTTCAAAATATTTCAGTAAGTTCAGCTATTGTGTTTTGGTGAGATAATTCTGCATCTGCCTGGATTTACTTTCCTTATGTCCGTTTCATGATTGGGAGCTCCTCTCCATGGCCATGGAACAATATAAAAATTCTTTACCCTGAAAGTCCATGTTTAAATCCATGTTTTCAATACAACATTTCAGTGTTTTCAAGTAGTTATTTCCATTCACTGTTTTCTTTTAAATGTTTTATTTTATGAAAGCAATCTAACTGTGCACTGGAGACATTGGTCAGTTGGTAGAGAGCTTTCCTAACATGAATAAGGACTTGGGTTCAATTCCCAACATCTCCTCAAATGCAGACGCTTGTGGATCCCTTTAATTCTCATAGTCAGGAAGTAAATGTAAGAGGATCAGTACTTCCAGGCCATCCTTCATACACTGTAAGTTAGAGGCTAGCCTGTTCTACTTGAGACCCTCTGTAAAAAAATGATTTAGTTCAGTAAGATTGCTTAGTAGGTAAATACACTTGTTGACAGGCTTAAGGACCTAAGTTTAATTGTTGGCTACTTAGCTCAGATCTCATATTTCTGCCCTTTGTTCTCCAGAAACCTGCCTGCAATTCCTCACCTAGGCAGCTCAATGGACCTCCCAATTAGTAAAGGAGCCAGGAAATCCCCAATGTTACCAGGAGCCTACTCTTATTTAACCCGTATCAAATCAGTTCACAGATTTAAGCTCTATTTCCATATCCACTCACAACTGATCATTCCTCCTACTTTATCTTCTTCAAGATCCCCTAAGTTCCAGCTTTGACTATGCCATGGGCCTTACTGTAGTTCCTGTGATTGTTCTTGAAGCAACATGGATGATCAAACAGCCAGAGTTATGACACTGAAATCATATGCTGAGTCAATCTTGAGAGTTACCACAAGAATTCTGGTTTCAGGCAGGGTACATTCATTAAGTATATAGTATAAACCCTACAGACAATAAATTTTTTAACTTTATCATTACATGTTTGAAGCCGATGGTGTCGGAATTCTAGCCTCCCTGTTACCTCAGGCTGTCTTCTCACCTCTGGACATTGTACTTGGTGACTGCTCATCATTAGCACAGAGATATATCATTAGGCAATGAATGAGGGCTATGAGGAAAACACTTGGATTTTATTGCAAGCATTTGTGCCGGTTGTGTAGTTCTAACTGCTCAGTGGGAAACTGAAGTTTTACTATATTTCTAAAGAGTGGGTACCAACGTCTGGGGAGAGCACAAAAACAGCCTAATACAAAAGAGGAATGTCCTTAGGATCCTACTGTGAATTAGCACAAACCCATATACTCACTGCACAGCAAACACCTGTCCAATCTACAGGACAGATGGGGACAGCTGTGCACGACACCGGAGCCACAGAACTTTTTCAAACTGACTGCAGACACAGGATGGGAAGGGGTGGGTAAAGAAATGTCCTAAAAGGGAAGCTAGAGAAACTAAACCCAGTTGAATAAACACTGTAGTCAAATTTCCTGTAGACTGTGGTTATCACCCACAGGACAGACACAATGTCCCTGACAGCACACAAGATGTTCTATCCTGTCAGTTTTCCTTTCCTTCTTTCAGTTCTATCTCCTGGATTTGTGACACAGACTCCAGTGTAATAAGTCTTCTGCAAGGTCTTTCCACTGAATATGAACACAGGGGACAAGAAGGCTGTAATACAGCAAGCGTTACAAAAGGAAACCTGCCTAAATGACAGCTGTCCCCACATCCTGACAGCTCATGTCTCTCATATGGAGAGAAGATCCTTAATATTCCCAATATACAGTAGAGAAAACCAGTTTATTCAGACACAGGTTTCCACAGCCAGCTACAGCAGAAGCAGCATGCAGAGACACCTCTTCTCCACAGGCCAGAGGACTCGGGATGTAAAGAATTGAACAAGTGACTCTGAACTAAGCAGCAAACCCCATACACATTGCAGAGATACTCCATTACCTGAGTCATTTTTTACAACTATTTTAGGGAGAGACAAGCCAACACAACTGGATGTGTTTTGCCAAAACTAATATCAGCATCATTTGACTTTAGGTCTACCTCAACTTGGGTAATCGTCTAAGACCATCTACAAGTCTGTCCTGCCTGTATCCCAGTAAAGCTCCTGACTTTCCAAGCTGAAGATCTCCACTCTCAAGCACGTTCCTAAACATCTTGTTACCTTTCAGCTCTTATGAGAATGAGATGGTGAGTGTTTGAAGTTAGATGTGATTGCTCCTGCCCACTTACCAGATTATCCTGTTTCTGGTGTCTGTGTTCCCTGAAGTTCAGCTGCGAAACCACGCTCCTGTGTGTTTCAGTCTCTTCACTAGCAGCCCAACCCGGCTTCTTCATGGAAAAGCAGCAGGTTCAATGAGGTTCTGCCAAATTTATACACTCTCTGACATCTGTCCCTTACTTGTAAGTGTGTGTTGGTCAATCATTAAATTTCATGGGTCTCGTTGTTTTTGAGAATTCTGTGCATTTCCAAGAAGAAGAAAGAGAAAATGAAATTATCAGCTATTTCTCATTCTAGTATCTCTTCATTTCTTGGCAGTGAATGCTGGACTGTCCTAAAATCATCAAGTATGTGGAGTGTGGAATTTGGAACCTGAGTGGGGACACATAAAAGCAGCTTACTAGATAGGCAGGATCACAATTCTTGTGTGATAATTTTTCTTATCCCAGACTTCAAAATTGATGCCTGAACGATCACACGACACATTGTCTGGTGTTCTGTGCGGATGGCAAATTTAGTCTCATCCAAGTCACAACTCATTTAACTTCCCTATGACTACAAACTGACTTTCTCACGATTGTAAATTCATATTCACTAATTCTTGTCACTCTCAACTTCCCTGTCATTGCTGCTTTGTCCTGGGTTGTATAATAATGCAAATAATCTAACTATGGGCAACAAGCCAGTAAGCAGTCATCTCCCCTTGTTCCTGCTTCTGCTCCTGCTTGAGATTTCCCCCCTAATATCTGTCTAAGACCAATTGTGACTAAGTGTGTAAGCTCGCAAAATTCTTTTCCCCTGAAATACTTTTGGTCATGCTGATTATCACAGCAATAGAAAGCAAACTAGGTCAAATATCTACTAGTTCTTTTTTTCTTTTATCATTTTTTATTTTAATTTTAAATAGCTTGTTTTACATGTCAATCCCAGTTCCCTCTCCCTCCCCTCTTCCCGCACTCCCCTTCCCCCCCAGCCTCCCACCCTATTGCCAATTCCTTCCACATAGGAGATATCTAGAGTCTGTCATTTCATTCCGGGTAGGGTCCAGGCACTCCCCTAAGAGTCCAGGCTGAGAGAGCATCCCTCTTTTTGATATGGGCACACGATGACTATTTGTATTCCAGGGATAGACACTGATCCACTGCTCAGGGCCCCATAGGTTGCCCAGGCCTTCTCGCTGACACTCACATTTGGGGGGGTCCAGATCAGTCCCATGCTGGCCTCCCCACTGTTGGTCTGGTGTCCAAGAGCTCTCCCCTGTTCAGATCAGCTGTCTCTGCTGGTTTTGCCAGTCCATTCTTTGCCAATTTGCTCATCATTACTCTCTCTGTCACTGGGTTCCTCGGGTTCAGTTCAGTGCTTAATTGGGTGTTTGCCTCTGCTTCCATTAATCACTGGATGAAAGCTCCCAGATGGTTATAGACATCAAGTTCATTATCAGGAATGGGCATTCGAGGTGGTCTCTCCACTATTTCTTAGCTTGCCAATTGGTGTTATCCCTTTAGATCACTAGAAGTCACTCTGGTGCCTGATCTGTCTTCTAACCTATGATTCCCTTAACTAAACCCTTAATTATGGAAAATAAAACTTAAGTAGAGTAAGGGAAATAACACAAAAAAATCTGCATAAGTCCTTTAGCCAGTACTGGCAATTATCAAAAGACATGATCAATGTTACATGATTCCATTATAGTACATGCATTTATATTTACACATACACACACTCATATTATATGTATTTTAAACTAGGCCTATAAAATAATACATTTCCCCATGGATTTTCAAACAGCCTTAGTGTTATTTCTCTTTTAGTCTTCCTTCTTCCTCTGTATTGCCCTCATCCAACTTAAAGTCCCCTCCTAATTTCCCCCTTTCCCTCTTCACAGCATGTGTGTGTCCTTCTATCCTCTTCTACAGCGTTTCTTTTCTCTCCTTCCCTATGGGGCCTGTCTACTTTCATTTGCTCTGTTATTACCTCAGATTACATACTCAAATCTAAAGATTCCCAGCTTGAATCCACAACTAAGAATAAATGGTTTCTGTTTTCCTAGGTCTGGTCACATCACTCATTGTAGTTCCCATTGTATCCATGTACTAGTGAATTTATTCATTATGTTTTTCTTTAAGCTGAAAAGACTTCCAATTAATATGTTTAGAACATCTGTTATTATCTATTCATTAGTTGAAGGACATTTAGGTTGTTTCCATTTTCTAGATATTGTGAATAGATCAGTAAAGAACATGGATGCGAAAGTGTGTCTTCAGTAGGATATAGACTCCTTTTAGTGTATGTCAAGGAGGAGCACAGAGGTCCACAGCAGGTCACAATGCAGAGAATAAGTGACTCTGTGATCCAGAACCAACCTGCTACATCAACCATGTTATTATTACACCCAGGGCTCAAGGAAAATCACAGAAGGGGTGATGGAAAGATAGTAAGAGTTAGGAAACAGGGACTACAGCCACATATATTTTCTTTTTGACCTGTCAAGGATGATGTATCCATGACATCTCAAGAGTATGGTTGCCAAAGCAAGACTTGCATAATGACAAAATCAGTTGATATATCAATGCGGATGGGGGGAGTTCCTCAGTCTCATCTCTAGATGAATAGCTCCATCCACAATAAATGCCTGGTGAGAAAGGGGGACTCGGTTTTCTCCAGCAACACGTCCACTGATAGCGCCAAGTGGCCAGTCCTAAACAGCCATGCATTTGAGCATCTCTAAATGGATTCACTAGGCTGTATTGTGTGTGTGTGTGTGTGTGTGTGTGTGTGTGTGTGTGTGTGTGTAATAAGAGAAGAAGAGATCATAAATTTGAGAGGGGGTAGTGGAGGAAAAAGGGTGAATTGGAAGTGAGAGATGGAGAGGTGGAAATCACATTAGAACAGTACTTACTTTTAAATTCTGAAGAAATTAAATAAGCAACCCACCAATCTAGAGTTCCATGCAGCACCTGTTCCATGCATATGTTATAAATATATTCACTTCATTGATTCTCTTCCATCTACAAAACTCTAATTCCAAGGTGATCCGTAGAGGACAAGTAATAGGAAGAAGTAAAACTGCATACTGGGGAGGAGGAGGGAGTGAAGGAATGAATTACTGAGGATTCTGGAAACACTCTACTGAATTTTACTGAAATTTACTATTTTATGTGTGCTTAGGAAGTTTTACTGGAGTTACTGTATGCAGTAATGAGTGGGTCATGCTCATTCAAGAAGTCATTGTTTATTGTATTAAAGTTCTCTAGATTCAGATAACTTATGGCATGTATCTCTCTGTATAAAGGGGATTTATTGGAATGACTAACAGGCTGCAATCCAGGTAATCCACCAATGACCTTCTGTGAATGGAAAGTCCAAGAATCTACTTGTTGAGTCCCACAAAGCTGGTTGTCTGTATAGGCTGGAATCCCAAAGGAGTAGATTCCAATGTTATTGAAGGAATGGATGGCTAGCAAGAGGATGGCAAGCAGGTAATGAGCAAATACTTGCTTCTTCTATGTCCTTGTAGAGACTTCCAGAAGAAAGCATGGCCCAGATTAAAGGCTCTTGTCTTCCTACCTCAAAGTTCCAGAGTAGAAGTGAATTCACTCACTTCAAACCTAGCCTAAAAAATCTTCTGTGTCTAGATTAGCAAATGAGTGAATTTATTAGGGTTAGTGTTGCTAATGAGAATGTGGGTCACTCAGAGGTAGCTTCATTGCCAAAGAGCCCACCTCAGCAAGGCAGGGACTCTCCATAGCTGTAGTCATGGAGCTCCCTGCAAGATTCACAGGTGCCTCAGCTGCTCTGAAATCCCCATTCCTGTTGAATGCTTTTTGCTTATATAACCTTGAGGAGAGCTTTATTAACCTGTTATGTCCCTGTACTTTCTGAGACTTGTGATTTTATTTACTTCCTGAGTATTATTTCATATTCTATGTAAAATGGGTGTCTGTGTGGGTTCACATGTTTACATGTGTGTGGACATGTCAGAGCTGTTGTGCCTCCACCTTTCTACCTTTGTCAGCACGGCAGGGTCTCTCACATGAACCCGGAGCTTGTAGATCTACACAGTCTAGGAAGCCATCTTCTCCACGGTGTCACTGCTTCTGCTTCTGAATGTGGAAGTACTAGGTGGATACAACACCAACTCAGCATTTGTGTGGGTTCTGGAATTTGAACTCTGTTCCTTATACATGTATGGCAAGTGATTTATGCACTGAGCATAGATCTCCCAACTACCTGGATTTTCATTGATATGTTTTGGTTGGGTGGAAACTGTTACAAAACACCTATTCATAACTTTTTTGTGTGTATGCTTTCACATGTTTAGGTGTTGTATATGGACATGTGTTCATTCGTGTGTGTGTGTGTGCGCGCGTGTGTGTGTATTCAAGCGTGCAGATAGGGTTGATAGAAAGAGAGGGAGGTAGAGAGGTGAAGAGGGATTTGGGCTGTCTGAGTCTGACACATTAAGAAGAATGGTCCTCATCATTAGGTTTTCCCATGGTGGAAGTGTAAAGAAAATATACCAGAGGAGGAAATTCATCTAATTATTCCTGGTATAACCATTTGATGCTATCATGGTCAGTAGCTGTGGGTAAGGTGAGCCTGAGCTACTTTTTTTGAGTTGTCTCTCTAAGGAGAGCTTTGGCATCTTCAGTCACCGTGTCAAGGAAGATGTGATGCAAGTAAAAGGTTTTCCTAAAGTAAAGACCTGTAGCAAGGAGCCCACCATTAGCTGAGGCAAATATCTCCAAATATTTCAAAAATGTGTCTCCTAATGTTTTTTCGTGCTTAGTTTCTAACAAATGAGAAGATTTAATGACTTTTTTCAGTTGTTCAACAGGCATTTGGGAATTTGTAGCCATGACTTTTAGGGACTCATCATCCACTCCGAAGATGAATTGATAGTGGTTTAACTTCACCTTCAGCCTCTCCGTATCATTTCTGAGGATGCCCACTGCAGGAACAGTTGCCAGTAGTCCATCCTTGAAGGCTTCCAGCCAGATAGTCTGCTGCATAGACTCTCGCTTTGTGTCAATGGCTGCTTCTGAAATATTAGTCATGGAAAGTTTAAAATTGTGACGCTTCTGAGCAGGAAGATCCTTTATCAGGGTGTCCATCAGGATTTGAAAATCATAGTCAATTAAAACTCTGTTTGAAATCAAGAAAATCTGTGGTACATCCATGTGATTCTGAATAAACGTGTTCTCACAGTAGCTTCGGATGTTCTCAATGGTCTTTTCTCTGTCAAATGTGCGTGGTTTGGAATTCTTTTCATTGTCTAAATCAGTGTCTACCTTGGTTCTCACAAAGTAGTAATTCTTTTTCATGAATCTTATTACTTTGGCAAGTTCTAGTTCGAGTTTTGTAAAACGTGTGGCAGAAACAATAACAAAGAAGTCATACTCTTGGAATTGCACTTTCTCCAGATAATCCTTCGGCGGAAACTTGATAGTTCCAATGCCAGGCAGGTCCCATAGAGTCAAAGTTTTAATTCTGGGGTGCTTGTATGGAGTTCTCTCCATAGTTGTCTCTACTACTCCAACTTTTGCTGCACCTTGGTCTTCAGCCCCAACTCCCCTCAGGGCATTAATGAAGCTGGACTTCCCTGCTCCAGACTCTCCTGTCACAGCAATGCTTATTGGGGCCTCATCAATATTTTTTAATGCCTTACTGATTACAGAGTTTGCCCCCTGGATGTTTCCTTTTTTCAGATGAAATTGTATTAAACGGATGGTTTCCTCAGATATGATTTCCTTTTCTCTCTTCATCGTCTTTAAATATACAGTGAAGCTGGACAGTAAATCTTCATGACCTCCATCCTTAGCTGTATCAGAGGACGACTGACCCATGATTGTGATTTTTAAAAAGACACTGAAATAAGGAAGGGAGAGTAAGTTGCCAGAGATCAAAGATGCATTTATGCTTAGCACTGTGTTCCTTCACTATGCTGCAGTCTTAGTTACATTTTGATATTCACTAGTTCCCATATATTTTGTGCTGTTTTTTCCAACCAGATACAAACTATAGTCATTTTGAAGGAGAAAGTCTCATTTGATGAATTGCTCCCATTCCATAATGGAACATTTTGTTGACTGAGGTTTGATGTGGGAGGTCACAGCACACTGTGAGTAGTACCACCCTTGGTTTGGTGGACTTGGGTAATTTAAGAAGGCATTATCGAACTATGAGGAGCAAGCCAGTAAACAGCATTCTCCCATTTTTACTTCCTCTACGCCTACCCTGACTTCCCTCAAAGATAGATTGTGATCAGAATGTGTAAGCTCACAAAATCATTTTCTATTCCAAATTTTTTTTTTGGTCATGATTTTTATAAAAGAAATAGAAAGTAAACTCAAAATAAAGGAAACTAGATCAAATTTCTACTATCTCTCAATTAAACCCTTCATTAGGGAGAATGAAAACTCAATATAAATAAGAGAAAATAATATAAAATTGTGCATGACTCCTTAGCCAGCCTTAGCAACTACAACAACATGAACAACTGTTTTGCCTTTACCCTGACTGAAATATTTTATATCAAATCCAAGATATCTCAATCTGTGCACACTTCCTTCAGTATGTGCCTTCAAACGAATCAAACTTAACAGTCTAGCTTTGTACATTGAGAAATTAAAAACAATGTGTATTAACTGACATTAGCATTTAATTGATGCCAAATCTCTCTAAATACTACTTAAATCTATTTTGTCTGTCTTATTTATGTTTTCAAAAGATTTCAGTAAGTTCAGCTGTTGTGTTTTATTGAAATAATTCTATATTTGCCTAGATTTACTTTCCTTATATCCTTTTAATGATTTAGAGCTCATCTCCATGAAGAATATAAACTTGTAATAATACGAAAGTACTTTGTCTTTAAAATCCATGTTAAAATCTATTTCTTCAGTGCAATATTTCAGTGTTCTCATTTACATTCACTATTTTCTTTTAAATATTTTCTTTTATGAAAGCTATCTAACTGTGTACTAGAGATATTGGTCAATTGGTAGACAGCTTTCTCACCATGAATAAGACCCTGGCTTCAATCCCAACACTTATCAAATGCATGTGCTTGAAGATCCCTGGTATTCTGGTACTCAGGAAGTAGAGCTAAGAAGGTCAGTATGTCAAGATCGTTTTAGTATACAGTGAGTTAGAGGCTAGCCTGGGCTACTTGAGACCCTGTATCAAAAGTTAATATCCAGTCCAGTAAGATGTCTCAGCAGGTAAATGTACATGCTGCCATGCCTAAAGCCCTGAGTTTGATTGTTTGGTATTGAACTAATTCATATCTCACATTTCCCACTTTATTTGGTAACACAATGGACCTCATCATTATTTAAGGACACCACAAATTCTCATCATCACCCTGGAATCTCTCTGTCTGTCTCACCCATATCAAATCAGTTCACAGACTTAAGATCAATTTCCCAATCCAGTCACAACTGATCATTCCATCTACATTATCTTCTTCAAGATCTCCTCAATCTCAACTTTGATGACATTGACATTACTATATTTCCTGTGACAGTTTTTGCAATAACATGGATGATTAAGCTGCCAGAGTCATCCTATTTTCTCTGAAATAGTATCATGCCAAGTCAATCATGAGAGGCACCATAAGGATTCCCAATTCAGTCAGGGAACATTCATTATGTATACAGTGCACACACCACATACAATAAACCTTTGAACTTTATAATCACATGTAGGATGCCGATGGTGTCTGAATTCTCACTTCCCTGTTATCACAGGCTCTCTTCTCATCTCAGGACTTTGTACTTAGTGACTGCTTCCAATCTTTGTGCTCTCCCCCAGTAGCCACAGGGCTATTAATCACCTTTCTCTAAGTCCTGCTTTAGGATTTATATTCAAATTGGTATATAAATATGAAGCTGCATCTATCATTCACCATCTTTTTATTATGTTTCAGAAACAACAACCTCATACACATTGCAAATATATTCCCTTTCATGAATCATCTCTTTACAGCCATTTGATGGAGAGGCATGAGAGAAAAGCAAAAACAACTGGATGTTCGTTTTTTTTGTTTGTTTGTTTCCAAACCAAACATAAAAATCATTGCCTTTAGGTTTATCTGAACTTGGGTAAGGCCTAAGACCATACACAAGGCTGTCCTCACACCAAAGCTGCTGACCTTCCAAACAGAAGATCCCCACTCTCAGGCATGTTCCTAAATGTCTTGTGACCTCTCAGCTCTTATGAGAAATGAGATGGTGAGAGTCTGACGTTAGATCTAACTGCTCCTGCCCACTTACCAGATTATCCTGTATCTGGTGTCTGTGCTCACTGTGGTTCAGCTGCAGGAACCATGTTCCTGTGTGCTTCAGTCTCTTCACTTGGCAACTACCCCTGCTTTTTAGTGGAAAAACAGCAGGTTCAAGGCATTCGGCCAGAATTTGTACACTCTCTGATGTCTGCCCTTCCTTCTAAGTGTATGTTGGCCAATCATTAAAATTCAAGGATCCTATTGTTTTTGAGAATTTCTTGCATTTCCAAGAAGAAGAAAGAGAAAATGAAATTATCAGCTATTTCTCATTCTAGTATCTCCTCATTTCTTAGCAGCGAATGCTGGACAGTCCTAAAATCATGAAGTATGTGGAATGTGGAATTTGGAATCTGAGTGGGGACACAGAAAAGCAGCTTACTAGATAGGCAGGACCACAATTCTTGTGTGATAATTTTTCTTATCCCAGACTTAAAAAATGATGCCTGAACGATCACACGACACATTGTCTGGTTTCCTGTGCAGATGCCAAATTTAGTCTCATCGAAGATACAACTCATTTAATTTCCCTATGACTACAAACTGACTGTCTCATGATTGTAAATTCATGTTCACTAATTCTTGTCACTCTCAACTTCCCTGTCATTGCTGGTTTGTCCTCGGTTGTATAATAATGCAAATAATCTAACTATGGGCAACAAGCCAGTAAGCAGTCTTCTCCCGTTGTTCCTGCCTCTGCTCCTGCTTGAGTTCCCCCCCCAATATCTGTGTAAGACCAATTGTGACTAAGTGTGTAAGCTCCCAAAACTCTTTTCCCCTGAAATGCTTTTGGTCATGCTGTTTATCACAGCAATAGAGAGCAAACTAGGTCAGGTATCTACTAGTTCTTAACTAAACCCTTAGTTATGGAAAGTAAAACTTAAGTAGAGGTAGGGAAAATATCACAAAAAATCTGCATAAGTCCTATAGCCAGTATTGGCAATTATCAAAAGACATGATCAATGTTACATGATTCCATTATAGTACATGCATTTATATTTACACTTACACACACTCATATTATATGTATTTTAAACTAGGCCTACAAAATAATATATTTCCCCATGGATTTTCAAACAGCCTTAGTGTTATTTCTCTTTCAGTCTTCCTTCTTCCTCTGTATTGCCCTCATCCAACTTAAAGTCCCCTCCTACTTTCCCCCTTTCCCTCTTCACTGCATGTGTGTGTCCTTCTATCCTCTTCTACAGCGTTTCTTTTCTCTCCTTCCCTATGGGGCCTGTCTATTAATTAGTTGAAGGACATTTAGGTTGTTTCCATTTTCTAGATATTGTGAATAGATCAGTAAAGAACATGGATGAGAAAGTGTGTCCTCAGTAGGATATAGACTCCTTTTAGTGTATGTCAAGGAGGAGCACAGAGGTCCACAGCAGGTCACAATGCAGAGAATAAGTGACTCTGTGATCCAGAACCAACCTGCTACATCAACAATGTTATTATTACACCCAGGGCTCAAGGAAAATCACAGAAGGGGTGATGGAAAGATAGTAAGAGTTAGGAAACAGGGACTACAGCCACATATATTTTCTTTTTGACCTGTCAAGGATGATGTACCCATGACATCTCAAGAGTATGGTTGCCTAAGCAAGACTTGCATAATGACAACATCAGTTGGTATATCAATGTGGATGGGGGGAGGTCCTCAGTCTCATCTCTAGATGAATAGCTCCAGCCACAATAAATGCCTGGTGAGAAAGGGAGACTCGGTTTTCTCCAGCAACAAGTCCACTGATAGCCCCAAGTGGCCAGTCATAAACAGTCATGTATTTGAGCATCTCTAAATGGATTCACTAGGCTGTATTGTGTGTGTGTGTGTGCATGTGTGTGTGTGTGTGTGTTTGTGTGTGTGTGTGTAATAAGAGAAGAAGTGATCATAAATTTGAGAGGGAGTAGTGGAGAATACAGGGTGATTTGGAAGTGAGAGATAGACGGGTGGAAATCACATTAGAACAGTACTTATGTTTAAATTCTGAAGAAATTAAATAAGTAACCCACCAATCTAGAGTTCCATGCAGCTCCTGTTCCAAGCATATGTATTAACAAGAAAGTGTAGAATACTGGAATAGTTGTATGTGTGTGTTTGTGTGTGTGTGTGTGTGTGTGTGTGTGTGTGTGTGTGTGTGTGCTGGAGCACAGTGAGTTCAGGGTATGAGTGTAAAGTGCATATATGCTGGAGCACAATGAAGTTAGGATATGAGAATAAAGGACAATAGGATGAAGAAAACCACACACTGACAGTCAACAATATGACCCGGGATTTTTCTGTATGCGTATACCTAAAGACTCAAAGAGCAAAATCTATCGAAAACAAATACAGGAAGAAATTCAGCTTGGGTTTGTATATTTTAAAAAGGAACAGGAATAAGCTCAATATAGCTAAAATAAAGAAATGCAAACAAAAACCAGTTGATGTCTCTTTAATTGCTGAGCCTTAAAATGATATGAATAATTATAAAAATTAGAAGCTTTAAGATATATGAGTAAAGGCTGAAGAAATTTGGCTTAGTGGATAAGACTACTTGCTCTGCAAGCAAAATGACATGAGTTCAAAACCCATGTGTCCAAGGTA